AGAAGAAGAAGAAGAAGAAGAAGAAGAAGAAGAAGAAGAAGAAGAAGAAGAAGAAGAAGAAGAAGAAGAAGAAGAAGAAGAAGAAGAAGAAGAAGAAGAAGAAGAAGAAGAAAGGATAACTTAGTGGTTTTGGTGTCTGATTGTAGAGACTGAGGTTAGTTTAGTTCCCCACTGCATGTCCTAGAGCCAGCCTGTGTTGCTTTGGGCCAGCTGCACAGTCTCAGGGATCCCCTAGAAGAAGGGAGTGGTAAACTACTTCTGAGTATTCTCTACTTGAAAAAACATGAAAAGGGTCACCATAACTCAGAACTGAAAACAGCACATGATGATGGGAATACTGTACCTATTCAATTTGGCAACTACGGATAGTGGAAGAGAATTTTGTTTTTGTTTATTTGTTGAAAAATTTACCCAAATTTTCAGTTTCTCCATATCTGGCAAGGGAAGAACTTGGGGTTTAAAACATATCAAATTATGGAAAAAGAAAACCAACAGATTTTCCTAGCCCTAATCCTGCAAACGCAGTGTATATCCAAGCTAGCTTTGATATAGCCAGTTCTTCTACTGACAGCCAACATGTCTTTCTCTTCCTTCTGCTGAAGTTCCAAATTATTGAATTTAGACCTTTTGAATCCATGACATCTTGGCATTTGAGTTGCCTCGGAGAATTATGCTGCATCAGTTCTGCTGATGTGTTTTCCATAAATCATGCCCCTCCCACTTAACACAACTGACGTGTGTTTACAGTTTCCATTGTCACATTTGGGGTGAAACAGAATATGTGCCAGAAAGATAAAAATCAGACTTGTCACTGAGCGTGTTACGGATCAGACAGCCTGAAATGTGTTTGGTTGTGCAACCTGTTCCCAGGAAATCTCTCTCTCTCTCTCTCTCTCTCTCTCTCTCTCTCTCTCTCTCTCTGTTTGTGTAGTGATGTGTATGCAGCCATACCAGCCAAATGAGACTGCACACTTATTTCTTGCCTTAATGACTATTGTTGCCTTTCACATTCCTTGTAACATAAACAATCACCATAATCTTGATTTAACCTGACAATCCATGAAAATACATTTATTTTAGAGGTTTTTCTAGTCGCTTGGGATCACACTGTTTCCTCTTAGCTTTTTGGTTCTGACTCAGCAACAACAACAACAACAGCCTAGATAGACCTGAAATTGAAGTCCGGTGTGTGTGTGTGTGTATGTGTGTGTGTGTGTGTGTCCCTGTGTGTGTGTGTGTGTGTGTGTGTGTGTACACACACAATGCAATGGGCTCACAGGAAGTTTTTGTTTTTTTAAAAATCTGGGGACCTTTTTTCCAGGTCAAAAATTGCTTCCTATAAATGAATTTTCCACCTCGAGAGGAAAGGCAGAAGGTTCCTACATATTTCAGGGGCACATCTCCTCTGGGAGGACTCAATTCCACTAACAAATCTCCCTGCTGTTGTACTGGGTTCTCATTAAAAAAACACACACAGTTTAAATTTTAGTGTACACATGAGGCACGGGCATGCACACACCCCTGTGCCAGGGGAGGGAGTCTTTCTGCGCATCCTGCCAGAGGTGTGTTTCTTTTGGGGCGGATGTGGAATCCATTCATTTGAATCAATTCTACGTATGTGGATGAGCTATCCACTTAAAAACAATCCTGTTATCAAATAGCAGGATTATTAAACACACACACACACACACACACACACACAGAGAGAGAGAGAGAGAGACAGAGAGAGAGAGAGAGAGAGAGAGGGCTAGCCAAAAAAGCTGGCATCCACCCAGTCATCCCTTCACCCACCCTCTCACCTCGCCTTGCTCACTGCTGTCCAGCCCACCTGCCCAGTCACCCTTTCGCCTGGCCAGTCACTGCCCCTCACTTGCTGCCCCCNAACCCCATTGCTCCTTCACCCACCTGGTCACCCCCCCCTGCTCACTGCCCTCCCCCGAGCCTCCTGGTCGAGTTTTTCATTTGCCCTCTCGCCTGCCCCCCCATTCACCT